ATATAATATAGCAATAAAGGTCTAAGTAACATTTGATCTCAAAGAGCACAAAGTGAAAAAATGTTTAGGCCTACTTGTAAAAAGATTCACTTTCTTCATTACCATTAGTGGAATAAAAGGTAGACACTGGGCAAGAGTGCGCTGGCTTTGGGATTGGAATGGATACCATCAACAAAGAGGTTTTGGGGGCAGAGAGGCTGCAGGACTCCACTTGGAGTTTTTGGACACTGTTAGTTCTGCTCAAAAATGTGCAGACAAGTTCTACGGAAGTGGTCTGAAATGATAGCAGAACTAAACCGGGAATCTTCGGACTATGTCATCATGCTTATCTTGCAGAAAAAAGGGGGACTCTTCATCCTTCCTTTCTACTGAATCAGAAATCAGCTGTGAAAGAACACTGTTGAGCCCTGAAAGTATTCTTTTGGCTGTATCTCAAAAGTGACTGTTGATGTATAAACTTTTAAATTGCAATGCATGGACATTGCTGTCTTAATGTACCTGAAAAAAAATGCAGCTCTGTCATGACAACTCTTGGAGGGATTGGCATGGTAATGTACATGACAATGTTAATGTATTTGGTCTTGGAGGAATAGATCTGCTACGCTGCTGCTGCGGCAGAGCAAGTACCGAGAATTGCTACTGCCAATACACCCACAACATGCTGCTATGAGCAAGTAAGAAATATCGCTGCTGCAAATATAACATACATGAAATAACCCCCATATAGCATACATGAATCACCTCATAGCAGATCTATACAGGTGGAGCTGGGGAAGGTGGAGGGTTTCTGAAGCAAGCGGCAACTGCTACGGCAAGCACTAGTCATATATTTGAATGTTGAGCAGCGAGCCCATTGGCTAACAATACAGGAGAGAACCAATCAGCTGTGCCATGTGATAATGATGTAATTAGGTCAGATTGAGTTAGACCTATCGGACTGCGCCATCTAGAGTTTCATGCCACAACTCTGTATTTCAGCTACTCATTCATCTTGTATACCTGCTATATGGTGCTTTACCTTACCAGTGTAGTTGTTTTTCCATTATAAAGATGTTATCAAGGTGGGGTGATATCTGAGACATCACAGCTTTTCATCATGCCTTTCATCATCAAGTCTTGTTCAGCTCTATTTTACGATATTGTAAATTCTTAATGATTACATTCCAAACTGTTGTGCCACGCATACATTTTTATTTAAGATCACACTAGGTATTTACATTCACTAATTTCTGTCAGTCTGAATGAATCCAATCCGATTTCAGATTCTGACATTTCCGAGTATATGAACCCTTAATTTTGTCATCTGATTTTCATCACATTTTAGTTTACATGTACATTTATTTATTCTGAAGAAAACGTCAGTGCATTTGCAGTGCATTTTTAGCAAATATTCTGTAACTATTCAGTGTCCTCCAGTCACCATGTAATTCGTAAGACTTAAATAAGTACATTCACAAACCTATGTTAAAGGGGTCATATGATGCTGCTAAAAAGAACATTATTTTGTGTATTTGGTGTAATGAAATGTGTTTATGCGGTTTAAAGTTAAAAAAACACATTATTTTCCACATACTGTACATTATTGTTTCTCCTCTATGCCCCGCCTTTTTGAAACAGAGGCGCGGGCTTGAGAATGGTGCGGCTGGCGGATTCGACGAAGGAGCGGCAACCACATGTGACGACCCCCGGGCTGGTCCCCGCGCTTCGTCCACAGTGAAAGCCGATCCGGCGATCCAGAGCACTAAGTTGATGTATTCCCTCAGCGACCAGCACAGATCAGCTCTAGGCATGACGAAGCGGATATCGTCCTCTTTTGGAAGACCAAACAAAGTAGTTTCGCTTTCACAACGAAGCACACAGCGTCTTCACGACATGGCGGCAGCGTGCACCAAGAGCTTGTAATACTCCAAAGAGAAAGGAAAAATTGAAATTGCATCATATGACCCCTTTAACAGAGATCTTATTATAAACGTGCCCTGGTAAACAGTTTTGAAGTTTGGTTTTGGAGTTTTGAATCTGATTGAGAAGACAGTCGCATTGAACCGTTTACATGCTTAGATTTTTGCTATTGATTGGAGTTTTATTCTGATCAAAATTTAATAAGGATCGACCTTAGTCATATTGATTGAGTAACTTACATGAAGGCTTTTCAATCAGACTGAGCCATCAAATCGATTAAAGGGTTATTATAATCAATTCAATCTTCAACAGATTATTTTGGTGTGATCCTCATTAGGATAGCTGTTATAGCTCTGCACTAGCAACTGTTATTGTTTATTTTTAAATTATTTTTATTATAACTAAAAACCAATTATGGGATACTTTAAGGGTTCAGTCAGTAAAACAAAAAAAAGCCCCTTTATGTAACAATTTTTCACAGCTGTTATATGGTTATGCACAAACTACCCCTCAGATACCTCTATCTTGTGTTGCATTGGACAGATGTCTAAATGAGAATGTGCACTTGTTTTGAATTTTAAAAAAATTAACTTTTGCACACAAAGTATTTTTTTATGATTTAATACTTTATTCATCCAAGGGCTATGTTTAAACAAACTGCTTATATGCATGGTATATTTGTCCTTCCGATTGACAATATGGAGATAATACAGTGAATGACAAACTGAAGGTATAAATGCACAGGTATAAATGTATAAATTATCTTAAGGTGGGGGAGGAGATGGGCGCTCATTGGCAATTAGACCGACACCCTGTTTGAATCTTTGAAAAAGGATTGTCCTTTGTCACGCTACTTTTGTTTCTTAATCTCAGTGCTCACCAGGACTGAGTCGTTTACCTCTAGGTAGCCAGAGAGTTATTTATTGCACCCTCATTCATATGTAGGCTTCCACATTCATCTTAAACCACCCTAATGGGTAATGCACTTAAGAATCCACCTGAACATTACCTGATGGAAAAAAAAACTTTTTTGTTATACTTTCTTAAATCCAGTTGTTTGTTTAGGAGATCCTTAAAAATGTATGTAGATTGCTGTGCCTCAAAAATATCTGTGAAGTGTGCGTGTGTGTGTATGTGTGTACTGGTTTATATATCCTGGTGGGGACTTAAACCTGACTACACACAAGACTCATGGGGACTCGTGTCACGGTGGGGACCTAAATTGTGGTCCCCACGGGTACAAAAGCTTATAAATCATACAGAATTAAGTTTTTTGAAAATCTAAAAATGCAGAAAGTTTTCTGTGAGGGGTAGGTTTAGGGTTAGGGTTGGTGTAGGGCAATAGAATATACGGTCTGTACAGTAGAAAAACTATTACACCTAAGAAGTGTGCGTGTGTGTGTGTGTATGTGTGTACTGGTTTATATATCCTGGTGGGGACTTAAACCTGACTACACACAAGACTCATGGGGACTCGTGTCACGGTGGGGACCTAAATTGTGGTCCCCACGGGTACAAAAGCTTATAAATCATACAGAATTAAGTTTTTTGAAAATCTAAAAATGCAGAAAGTTTCCTGTGAGGGGTAGGTTTAGGGTTAGGGTTGGTGTAGGGCAATAGAATATACGGTCTGTACAGTAGAAAAACTATTACACCTATGGAGAGTCCCCACAAGGATAGCTGACCAGACATGTGTGTGTGTGTGTGTGTGTGTGTGAATATATTTAACAATCTATAAGGGGGGAAAGTATTTCCATTTACTAAAACACAAATGACTATGCATTAGTTTTCCAGTCAGTTTTGAATTTAAACATTCAGTATAGTATATAACTATACTATATAGCCTACAGTACATAGACTATATTAAACTGACTTTTTAAGATTATATTATTATTTATATATTTATTTATTTATTTATTCAAGCCTGAAAAACGCCAACTTAATTCCCTAATATTTCCAGGTTTTCCATGACTGCAGGAAACCTGCTAAAATTAAAAAATGCAGTAGCCTATAGCTGGCAGTTCATTGCTGGAATTTAACAAGTTGGCCACTTAGTTGGTTAAAGGGTCCTAAGCTACCTTGGAAGCTAACTAGCATACTCTATAATCAGACAAAGTTAATAATAACTTCCTCCGAAACGACGGCACTTGTTGTCTGAGGTAGAAGAAAAAATGTTGAGTGTTAATGCTCCCAGGTTACTAAATATATAATGTGATAGTTTCAGTCACTTACTATACCTTTAAATCTGCACCAGTAGTCCACAATAAACATTTTATCAATTCAGAAACGTGTTACTATTTAGTCTTTCAAGCCAGTAATCTTTAAAAGGGGGAACACTGTTTATTCACGGTTCTAAAAGGTCTAATGACATTTTCTTCATTTTCTGAAATATGTAATAGCCTACTGATATAAAGTACATTCCTTATAAACATGTCATTGAAACGTCAGGAAGTTATTAAGTAAGGATGACAAGTGGAATGACTCTCGTGAGATGTCTTAAAGTTTTACAAAATATTTTCTACATTATACATCTGCAAGAGAAGTTTTCAGATGAAATCTAGTGCCGCAGTTCTGCCTGGCAACAGGCGTTCTCGTTCATTGGTTTATCATTCCTGCTTCCTTCTTTTAGGGTAACCCAAAAGAGTTTGCTTTCTTTCCACCCCAGACCACATGATTGTCTCATATATACGGAAACCACATTCAAGTGTATGCATAAATGACTCTTAATATAAAAATGTCATAAAGTGATTGTGCCACAGTACAGTCACAAAGAGTTTAAACAATCTAAAAAGGCGACTGTTAAAGTAGACTTGGAATTTTGACATGAACAATTGAGATCTGAGCGCTGTAGTTACACTGAGAAGGCAGCTGAGTTTCTAGGTGCGACAGTGGGCACCTTGATTTGGGCTACTATACCGCCCCCTACCAATACTTAACCAATACATATCTTCAGACCCGTTTACCCCGTCTTTCCACCCCCGATACCCACAACACTAGCAGCCTGCCCCCTTGCACCCCCCACCGATTCTCCTTGGTCACTCGTCAGCCGGCATAAGACCTCCTATTTCCATACTGCTAAAGGAAGGAGCCCAAGCTCGAGAGAAGATAGTTCTTTAAGATTGATCCTCCGCCCCGAGCAGACAGCCTCGCGCTCTCTCACAGGCTCGCTGCTGCTTTGATCTTCCCTTAACAACAGTCACGTCATAGGGGAGTTTTGTCAAGCGGAGCTGCAGCAGAGTTTTAGAGGGTTCAGCAGAGGCAGCAAAGCATCCACGGGACCAGTGTCCGACACAAGATCCAGTTTTCTTATTTTTTTTGTCACCGCTTAACCTCGGGCACCACTGAAGACATGGAACACCAGTTGTTTTGCTGTGAAGTGGATACCATTAGAAGAGCTTACCAAGATAGCAACCTGTTGAATGACCGAGTTTTACAGACAATGCTCAAAGCAGAGGAAAACTATCTTCCATCACCAAATTATTTCAAGTGTGTTCAGAAAGAAATCGCACCTAAAATGAGGAAAATCGTCTCCACATGGATGCTCGAGGTTTGTTTTGGGATAATAGTTGTCTTTTTGTATTAGCGACACAAGTTTGCCTCATGATGATTCTGCTCTTGCTCTTTGGACCCCAAGAACTGTTTACTAAATATAAATACGTATAACTTGAGTTCTTCAGCATTGTTCTATCACACGGAAATATGCTCCCCGATTATTACTGGTGATTTTTTACGTTAAAAAAATGTTTTATTACGAAAGTAATATTAATCCTAGACCTGGGACGTTTTCCGTGGTTTCCGCTATCGCATTTTTATTTAAAATCGCTTATTCCCCTCCAATCATATGTTTCGTTTCTTATTAATCTAAAGAAAATATAAATTAATTTAGATTTTATTTCAATTTAATACCAATGTACACGTATGCATTCTCACTCGTGCCAGTAGCCCATTATACGCCATCTTTGTTGTCGTTTGCTTAAGTTTTTTATATCTCTAAATTCTAAAATGGAAACATTATTGACATCACTTGCGTAAAGTCGCTTACCAGTTGTTCTTTAAATCGCAGGTATAAATTAAACCTTATTTCTGCAAGAAAACGTAATATTTGTATCTTAAAAGTTTTGTTTCAGTTTGCCATGGGCTATACCTCCTGCACGACGGTCTAAAAATATCATATTTTTTATATTTCTAAATTCACCATCGTGTTTTAAACGGTCGGATTATATTTCCCATCGAATGATTTGGATTTACAGATGTGTAACATTATATTTAATGCTTTGGAATAATTGATATTAATTTTTGAAACACCCGCTTCTCCTAAATGTCGCATTCTGCTCTTTGTATGTAGGGGCTTTAGAATTCAATTCATTTCGCATCGTTTTTGTCATTGAATTCGAAATGGTCTGCTTAGACTCCATAGACAAGCCAGTAATCTTTAAAAGGGGGAACACTGTTTATTCACGGTTCTAAAAGGTCTAATGACATTTTCTTCATTTTCTGAAATATGTAATAGCCTACTGATATAAAGTACATTCCTTATAAACATGTCATGTCAGGAAGTTATTAAGTAAGGATGACAAGTGGAATGACTCTCGTGAGATGTCTTAAAGTTTTACTAAATATTTTCTACATTATACATCTGCAAGAGAAGTTTTCAGATGAAATCTAGTGCCGCAGTTCTGCCTGGCAACAGGCGTCCTCGTTCATTGGTTTATCATTCCTGCTTCCTTCTTTTAGGGTAACCCAAAAGAGTTTGCTTTCTTTCCACCCCAGACCACATGATTGTCTCATATATACGGAAACCACATTCAAGTGTATGCATAAATGACTCTTAATATAAAAATGTCATAAAGTGATTGTGCCACAGTACAGTCACAAAGAGTTTAAACAATCTAAAAAGGCGACTGTTAAAGTAAATGCTTTGGAATAATTGATATTAATTTTTGAAACACCCGCTTCTCCTAAATGTCGCATTCTGCTCTTTGTATGTAGGGGCTTTAGAATTCAATTCATTTCGCATCGTTTTTGTCATTGAATTCGAAAGATTTCGCTTTTATTCAATAAAGCATGCGTTTCCCAACATTTACATGTGTTTTAAGTCGAGCGAAACAATTTTCGTATATTTTTTAATATTTTTTGAAAAGATGACGAACTAGAAAATTGTTTCCTGAACCTAGCTTGGACGCCACCTTTTTGCCTCGGAAAGCAACGACCGCTAGCATCATCAGCAAATTGCAATATTTATACATTGTCGAACACTTTAGATTTGTGTTAACTAACTGATTAAGCACTCTTTTTAGCATTCGCACAAGTCTCTTTTCTGACTTAACCCTTTCCAGTGCAAGTGCACGACTCAGTAGATGCTAAACACGTGGGTTAACTCCATAAGATCAAAGCATAGCAAAAAATAACAATTTCACTTCGTTTATTTAATTCACGTTCACCAAAATATTAGTTTATTTCGATTCTTACCACATATTTAGTGAAAAGGCAGCTAATTCTACGAGATATTTATTTGATCTTATATGTACTTTCTTTTCTTTAAAGGTCTGTGAAGAACAGAAATGCGAAGAGGAAGTTTTTCCGTTGGCTATGAACTACCTGGACAGATTTTTATCTGTGGAGCCCACCAAAAAGACCAGGTTACAGCTGTTAGGGGCAACTTGTATGTTTTTGGCCTCTAAGATGAAAGAGACTGTGCCACTAACAGCAGAGAAGTTGTGCATATACACGGACAACTCCGTCCGTCCCAGTGAATTATTGGTAATTATTCAACACTGCACAATTATACAGCTTGACATTGTTTTCTTATATTACTTCACTTAAGTCAAATAAAATGCAAGTGCAAGAATTGCAATCATGCTCTATGTGTACATGAAAGTCTTGGATTAAAAGTCTTAACCAGATAATTGGATTGGTCTGCAAGTGTAAAGCCACCCCTCAGACATCAATATAAACGCGCACGTTACAAACGTTTTAGTACTTTTTATGTGTCCATTAATTGAACGTAGGCCTTGCTTGGCTGTGCAATTAATCGACATCGCCATCTAGCGGTCAAAGAGTGTAAAATCGGATATGGAAAATGCGCCTTTATGTAAACTTGGGCCTCTTTATGCCTCCTTCGCAGCAAATGGAACTGCTGGCACTAAATAAACTGAAGTGGGATCTTGCCTCAGTCACACCACATGATTTCATTGAACACTTCCTCGCCAAACTGCCTATACACCAGAGCTCCAAGCAGATATTGCGCAAGCACGCCCAGACGTTTGTGGCCCTCTGTGCAACAGGTATGTTTTACTGTTTGTGTTCAGTTTTACTTTGATCATTTTTGTTCATGCAATATGTGACCCTGGACCACAAAACCAGTCATAAGGGTAATTTTTTTGAAATTGAGAGTTATACACCATCTCAAAGCTGAATAAATAAGCTTTCCATTGATGTGTGGTTTGTTTGGATAGGACAATATTTGGAATCTGAGGGTGCAAAAAAATGAATCAAAAAAAGACAAAATCGCCTTGTCCAAATGAAGCCCTTAGCAATGTATATTACTAATCAAAAATTAAGTTTTGATATGTTTACAGTAGGAAATTTACAAAATGTCTTTATGGAACATGATCTTTACTTAATGTCTTAATGATTTTTGGCATAAAAGAAAAATAAATAATTTTGACCCATACAATGTATTTTTGGCTATTGCTAAAAATATACCAGAGCGACTTAAGACTGGTTTTGTGGTCCAGGGTCACATATATGGAAGAAAATTTGCCTTATAAAAATAATAGCTGGCCAAGCAAAAGTTTTGATCACTTTATTATAAACATGCATCGAACGACCATCCCCTTACCTCACTCAGTACTTTGTTATCAGGCAGACTCTTTATTGCAATGGAAAGAGCCATCTCGCTTGTCCTAATTCCTTACTCGCAGTTATTGTAAACCAGTGTGAGCCTCTGCAAGAGAGAGGAAGTCTGTTTCCTTTTGCTGTTACTGCACCATGGCTCCTGAGAAGCCCTGCCTGCTTCACAACACCACTGCTATGCACGCAGTGCATGTGAACCAAAAAGAGGAAGCTGTTGTCTGACATTTTTCTTGTGAAAAGGGCTTTGTAACCTGCTATTTTCCCATGTGTCTTGATGTCCAGGTTTCTATGAGTTAGAGCATGTGCTCAGATGTTAGGCTGCAAATCCACTCTTTTTGCCCACACACCTCATTGTCGTGCAACCTACAGCAGTCATTTTATCACCTGCCAGAATAAGCCGGTAATGCTTCAGGAAGGAACTACTCCCGTTATATTCCCCACTCTTTTTGTCCCTCCATTTACATGGTGGGTATCACCGCAGCTCGCTCCCCTTTTATGTTTATGACCAGCATTTCTTTGGGACGTAGCCTGGGATCTCAGCCAGGGAGAGTGTGGTTGGACAGATACTGGGAAGGGGGTGGGTGCTGGTGAATGAAATGAATGGGCTGGGGTGAAGGCTCCCGTGCTTTTTATGCTCAATTTGTCTTGACAATTGCCCTCTCGTCTCTGAGCTAGCAATGCTAGATGACTTCCTATAAGAAAGGCAGTTGTATTTCTCTGTTCACCATGTGTGGGCAAAGCGCAAAGTGAGAATATAAAGGAAAGAGGCCGCATTGATTTATTAGCTCCCTTATTGCCCATGTGAAGGGCCGTTTAGGGTTCGAACACCCTGAAACCATTTTGAGGAAGTCGGGGGCCTGTGTATTCTGGAGATGGTAATATCTTGAAACCCCTAAGATTTCTATGCACTTTTAGCATTAACGTGCACATAGAGGCATGATTTATGGGATGTTTTGGGAATGAGAGGGCTGCAGTAGGGGGTAGCTTGCCCAGGACCTACAGCAAAGTCATCTGCCTCCCCCCAAAGGCTTTAAGCCCTGCCGCAGAATGGTGTCGGGCCCCAAATGTCACAGACAGTCCCCTACCAACCCTGGTCTCATTATAGTTTAGTCATGCTATGCTTCATTATGAGCTCAATCCAAACCCTAGTTTCTTATCCAATATTGCCCGTTTTATTCCTCATAATGACTCTTATTCTGTGGGCCAGTTACATTTTTGGTGGGTTTCTTGAGTATTTCCTGAGTTCTAACCAGGGTCCGTTTGTTATTTTCAGATGTTAACTTCATCGCAAGCCCTCCATCCATGATCGCGGCCGGCAGCGTTGCAGCAGCAGTGCAGGGGTTGTACCTGAAAAGCAGCGACAGTTGCCTCTCATCCCTGAACCTCACCAACTTCCTCTCACAAGTCATCAGATGTGACCCTGTAAGTGTTCCACCTTCCATATATTATTCCAGAAGACCCAATACATCGCTTCCCTCTGTCATTGATGCTAATCTCCCTATTTCTCTTCAAAAGGACTGTCTGCGATCGTGTCAGGAACAGATCGAGTCCCTGCTGGAATCTAGTCTCAGACAAGCTCAGCAGCACAACATCTCCACAGAGACCAAAAGAGTGGAGGAGGACGTGGACCTCTCTTGCACTCCCACAGACGTCAGAGACATTAATATCTGAACGGATCGCTATTCATCTTGTGTGCGATGAATCTCTTCGTCTTTGTTTCTGTTGGGTATGGGCTTTGGCCAAAGGCTTCATGGGACAAATGGAAAATGGGCTCCCACCTGCACCCCACAATCCGACCAATACCTCGACAACTTGCCCCTCAGCGCGCCCAAACTGTTGACTGCTGAGCGGCATCCCCTGTGGTTTTGACGATTGGGCTATCGCTGGCCAGGACCACCAGTGGAGGACAAGGAATGAATGGAAATCTCAATTCTGCCCTTCAGCCCCCCTCTATGTCCTAAGTCAAAAATAAAACAAGCAAAAATGGTATAGGCTATCTAGGATTTTAAAATTGTATAAACGACAACAGTAGTTGTGACTTGCCCTGACTTGTCGCTAAAAAAAACAACGTTGGGATTTTTTATTTCAAGTGTGTCAAAAACTATTTTTGAAAGAGAAGAGAAGAGAAGAGACTTTTTTTGTATGTTCCATTTCTTTCTCTCATAGATAGTACCTTGTTACACTTGTTACGAGTGCTCCCTGCTTTTTCTGCAGTCTAGCCGTGTAAATATATCCCTGCTTGCCATGCCTTTAGTCACTTTATTATAATTCCTAGACAGATTCCCTAACATGATTCTCTTCTCTTCCAAAATGGTTTATGTATCTTTAGTATATTTTTTACGCATGTATTTTTGTTATGATCTAGAAGGCTGTGGATTGCCAGGGACTGATGTTTTAACTTGAGGCCAGACAGAAACATTTCTTTGAACTTAATGCCTTCACTGCCATTTATGTATATCGTCATCGCTGCCATGACACAATAAGCTTATGTTGTACCTGCTCCCCGGCTAAGCTTGCAGTGCAGTCCACAGTCTGCTTTTTGTTTAGATTCATGTATTATCTAAAACCATTCCATTTAAAAAAGAAAAAAAGCACTTTCAGTCCGTCGTTTAAGGCTGACTTTTAGAGGAAAAAAAAAAAAAAGAGAAAGAAATCCACAGTTGTTAAAACAATGGGGAGAAACCATGGAATGGAGGAAGGGTTGACGGAGCAGGTCTCTTTATCTATGGTGTTAGTGGTCTGTTAGAGAAAGAAGAAGAGGGGGACATTGAGAAGATATTTGCTCGTTGAAGGCTTAAACGGAAGCCTACAGTGTAGTTTGTGATCCTCCTGCGAGAACGAATGGATGCTAGGGAACGTTTAAGGTGCGATCCCACAGAACGCATGTAGAGCTATTGAAACACTACAAAGTGTAAATCAAAGATTAAGAACTATTTATTTTTTCAGTTCCCCTCTTAAGGCCAGTACGCATGAATGCCCAAGTGTACCTATGTTTGAAGTATGTATAATGACCCGCTAGTTGCTAACTCGTGACACCATAGTTAAAGTATTTTTCCGAGTTGATGTACTCTGGTCTAGCTATTGTTAAAACAAAAGTTGTGGCTTCAAGTAGATTTTGCACAAACCCAGAGATGTCAGTTGTCTTGTGGATCTCTGGAAGGGGAGGAAGATGAGGAGGAGAGATGGTAGAGATGGTAGAGGGAGGCAAAAAAGGGTGATGGCTGGACATCAAAGAGTTAAAGCAGAACTGAGACTTTTGTACCGTGAGGAATAAATTAAGAGGAGACACTCCTCAATTTTAGCTGCTATGGAGGGATTTCCAGCAAGTATGAAACTTTCAAATGGAAAACAACAAAAAAGAAAAAGACATGCTTCTTTCTCTTGTCTTGTTTTTGCTGCTATTTTTGTTTTTTTTATATGAAATGTCAATACAATGCCATGTAATAGGTTTTAATTTTCTCATAGAAAATTATGATATTATTGACAACTTTGGTTCTTTTGGTAGGTTTTTTTTTTTTTTATGTGATCAATTTTTGTTAATGTGATTTCTACGCTATGCTATTCCCAAAACAAAGAAACAAACAAAAAAAAACAAAAACGAAAAACAACAAAAAAGCAGACGAAAAATAGTCAAATGTTCCTGTTATACCCACAATACCTCAAACTACAGTCGTGATTTAGCATTGATTTTAGTCTGGGATTTTTCTTTAGTGCTATTTTTATGTTGTTTTATTTTATTGTTTTTTTGTTTTTGTTTTGGTTTATACCGTGCCTGTTAGTCCTGTTGTAAAATGCAAATGAACATGTTAATCATCATCCTACTGGGTCCTGATGTGAGCGAGTAGAAAGCACATTGAATGGAATTGGTGCCATAAACTCTTTTGAGTTTTTTAGCTGTTTCATTAAAGGAGACTATATACCCACTTAAGCCTCTTCTAGCCCATCTTGATGAGTTTATGGAGCTTGTATTTGAAAAATGACACCGTTATGAGTTTGTGACTGCCATGTGTACGTACAAAGCCATTGTTTTGTCTCGTAGTAATTTAACACAGTGCAGATATTCATGTATAAGTGGCTGCTTAGTCGTGTTCTGAATACAAGAGACCTGGCATGTCCACATTAAGTCGTTGTCTTAATAAATGCGACGCAGCTACAATCAGCAGTGATGTTTTCCTTCATCTTTTTTGCATAAACCCATCAAATTTGTATCCTTGTAAAGTTCCATATATTCAGTACTCATGGGATTCTTTACTTGGTTGTTTGTTTGTTGGTTGGTTGGTTAGTTTCACTGCCTTTAGCCTTTGACATGGTGCTGCTATATGTTTGCATTGAGTATAGAAATGATTTGCTGAAAGAGATGCGGCGATAAGCTAGGAATGATGGGAGAGGTGATCCAGGACCCAGGGGACACAGATATATTATCCTCTGTAGTATCAGGAATCTATTTTACCTCAAGGTGGAAATGAAAATTCAACTGAATGATGAAAACTAGCATGTATACCGGTGCGATTCACACCAGGAGACTGTCATGCAATCGAGGAAAAGAGACTACGGAGGTCCTGAGCTTTTCTCTTGAATGTGTTTAGGGGGTATTGAGAAGTGATTGACTGCATCCTCCCATCCCCACATGATAAAAGCTTGGCCTTATGTCTCAATTCTGTTGTAAACAAACCTGTAGTGTCTTTTAGTTAAATATGGTATTCATTCCCAAGGATCAAAATGTGTTGATCCTGAAATATGTCATGGTTTGATTTTTGTTTCTTATTGTTCACAAACCGGTCACTGGTCTGAAATGCACAATCTTGCTGACCCATCTTAGACATGAGGTTAACTAGAATAAAAACTTGAGCTTCAAAAACCACTTGTCTTGCGTGATTTGTATTTGTTACTGTGCTCGCACCGCTTTGGATACAAAATGTTAAACAATTCTGTCATTTACTCAACCTCATATTTCAAAAAATATACAGTATATCTTTTTGTGTTAATGCAATTACATACTTTCACTGTCTATCCTTTTAAGTCATGATATGTTGTTATTTTATTAGACTAATGAACTAATAATCGTCTGAATTAAAAATGTGGAGAAAGAAACGTACACAAGAAATACTGAATATTAAAGTTAAACTGAATTCACCTATGGCACATGTAAAACTATCAAATTAAATGCTTAAAATATGAAATATAGCCTACACTGTAAAAAATGACTGTGAATTTAATGGTAAAAGACTGTAAAAATGCTACAGTAAAAACCTGTTAAATGGTTAACGGTAAATTCCACTACTATATACGGTGAAAAACTGTATTGAACATTACATGTATTGGACATTAATTTTATGGTAGTATACCGTTTTTGGAAGTGAAAAAGACCGTATAATTTACAGTGAATAACCGTAAATTGACATTCCCAGAATTCCCTGCGTTACATTTCAAATTTGATGTTTTTTTGTTGAAATAACTGTTTCTTCTTAGTTTTTTCTTATCAGTTTTGTATATTAGGGTTGTGTGTTACAGCTAATGTTGTTAAATGAATGTTTATTGCATTATTTTAGGTTCATGTGTGTTACCATGATGGTGTTTGGTGTTTGTGTGAATGACACCGTGCACCTTCTATAAATGCTATTATTTAAAAGCTGCTTGTGATGGGCTTTGGTTCATCATGTGACTTTCTCGTCACCACCTGCATTTGGTGGTTATCAGTGTATTACAAAGGCACAAAACAGATTTCAGTACTTCAATAGGTTGGTATATTAACATTTTATCAGTTAATGAAATTACGGTATTTAACTGTAAATTTAAGTTAAAACCGTAAAACCTAAAACGTTGCTACCGTATTTTTTACTGTAAAATTCCGGCAACCACAGCTGCCGGTTATTTACCGTAAATTGTACGGAATTTTTTTTACAGTGTATCAGCAATTGCTTAGAAAGGGGCATCTTTGTGTCACATGCCTCCTAAAAAAAGAGCAGCTGAAAACAGCTTGTTCTTGATTTTACTTCAAAACTTTTAGATTCACCAAATATTAATTAAGCAGGAAACTGAAGATATGTCTTATGTGTACAGCTAAAACCGATTCTGAAAATAACAGCATTTAGAGGAAGTGAATGTTGAACCTTGCTGAGGTGAGAAAGGATTGGTCTGTTGAGTAAATAAACGCTGTTCTCTCATGTATCAAGCAGGTGATACCCTTCTTTTATTGTCAAAGTATTATCTGGTATCCCCAACAGACAGTCTTTGATGTTCTGTTTTGAAACACACTGCAGACAGGCCAGCAGGCATCAGTTAGGAGTCTGGAAGAAAGAAAGAACTCAGACTATTTTACGCACCTTCGCGACCGACTGAGGTTTGAGATAATACTGTGTCTTTGGCTTTTGGCATCTCGGTGTCTGTGGTTTCAGAGGAAGGAGCAACATTGCTTGCCTCATACACACTGTTCCAAAGGCTAAAGTGCTACCTTTCGAAGGTTTGCCTTTCCAAGATCTGACATACAAAAACTGAACTCTGTTCAAATGTGAAAAGTGCATATCAGGTAATGTAGGTCTTGATAAAAATGATAGATATAAGTTAAATGACTTAATTGGTCAGTGTTACAACTTTTCAAACTCTTTGAGGGATGATCCACAAAACTATCACCATTCTACTTTTGAGCAAGACATTTAACTAGAAGATATTCCATTACTGTACTTTAACAAACAAGTAGTGTGCTTTGGAACAAAGTAAGAAGAATTTTTATGTATAAAGATGATGCAGAATTCATACAGTGGTGCCAAAAAGTATTTGGACATTTAAAACGTACATACCAATGTATGAATGCCATTGCATTCAGTAACAAAATAATAAGCCAGATGGCACCAGCAAACAAATTAATCTAGAGATTGTCAGAACTAACTTTTCTTTTAAACCAACCATAACCAACTGATGGCAAGGTGATTTTAGAAGATGTGTCGAATACAGCTCTTGAAAGGCCAAGGTCCTTAAGAATATTGCTATAACCCTAATTAAACACACTCAAACCAGCTAATCTAGGTCTTCATGATTACTACAAACTTCTGGTCCGCTAGACTGGAGCTAAACAGTGGCTGAATTCTGAACTGTGTACTAGCATACAACTCTTACATTTATGCATGTGGCAGACACTTTTATCCAAAGCAACCTGCTTTGCATTCAAGGTATACCTTTTATTAGTTCTTGGTTTCTCTGGGAACTTAAGCCATGACCTTGGGATCACTAGTGCCATGCTCTATTGTTTGAGCTACAGGAAAGCATACACTTACTATTTTTACCATATCTTTATAAGGCAGAAATATGAGTAGTATGCTATTCCAAATCTCTACCACACTCTCTTCAAGTTCACTCAGGTGTCCTAGCAGAGTGATTTGAAACCTGTTTGAACATTTGACAACCACTATGGCTTCATCTGAAATTGCATACTCTCTGAATAGCTACTTTTTTATTTTTGAATAAGTAATTACTTATAGAGACCATTAAAAAAGTACATTCTATTTCAGGGGTTCTCAACTCTGGCCCTCAAGATCCACTTTTACTACACAGTTTAGCTCCAACCTTGATCAAACTCACCTGCCTGTAACTCTCTAAAGCTGTGTCTCATTTAGAAGGCTGCGTCCTCCGGAGGTCGCATTCGAAGGCT